CATTCTGATTGGCTTAGGGCAAAAATGTAAACAAAAGCGCTGATTGGTCGAGAACGAAATTCCCCCTTGTTGTCTGGCCTCTTTATATAAAAATGCCAATAGTGCTTGCACTACCAATGACGAGAAACCAAACGATAATATCCTCCTTGGACTTGCGTTGGCCAAGATAGTATCATTTATAGAAAGAAAAAAACTAGACAATGACGAAGGAAATCCAACTATATTCAAACTAGCTGACCTTGTGAAGATGTATGCCTTAAACCTTCAGCAACTCGGTTTTGAAAACAGCAAAATTCATTCCACAGATTTGAAGAACAGAATTCTAACACAAATACCAAATCTGCAGTCACACAAAGAAGGAAGGGATGTTTCTTTGGCTTTTGACAAAGATATAGCACTTGTTTTACAGCGAGCAAGCAAATCATCGAATTGTGATGACGAAGCCATTATTCTTGCTAAAGCAGCTCAAATAATTCGCAGAGACATTGAAAAGAGTAAACTTCCTGAGTTTAATAGGACATTTGATGAAACTGTCAACAAAACTGTTTACCGCAGTCTGTGATAAGAACGGTCTCAATGATTCTTTCTGGCTCCAATCATAGCTCAACAATAGATGAAAATCAAGCTGCACTTAGTTGTTCTCAGCTCTTATTTTTTAACAGTGCTTCCAAGAATCATAGTCCAAAAGCAAAGAATATGTATCACAAGCGCGACAAAGAACCTCCTCTTCCAGCATATCTTGGTCTACGGTATTGTTGCATCTGTATCCTCAAGATTTGAGGAAGAAAAAGTTGTTTGTTCACCAACACTTTGTAAAGACCTCTTTACGACGGGGGCAGTTGACAATATCGACCACAATCCCTCGTCCACTACTGCACAGGATTCCTTTCATGGGATAGGAATATCTCTGTTTCAACATACTACCAGTTCTGTAGGAGTACCCAGAGATGCCGTGGGCATTTGTGGCGAACAGAGAGAAAGAAAAAAATCCTTCCCGATGACTACGCTAGCGTAAAGCCACTGACTCTACTTGAAAAAGAACCAAAGGTAAGTGGTTGTGATGTTACCACAATTGAAATGACACCTCAGTTCGAACAGGATCACACAATGTAAGAATTTAATGTTTTACAATTCTCCACAAAGAAATGGAGTTATGTCATTACGTTCATCTTATGGTGCCTTTATATTTCTTTTTCAGATGGCTTGAACCTGTTAAGTCGAAAGTAGTTACAGATGATCTACAAGAAACAGATATGGAAACTACACCTATGTCATGGGCTGCATTCCATGCAAGCAACAGAGAATGTACATAGCAGTCAACGACAAGCGACATAGTTGCACTTTTACCACTGTTCAGAGATGAGGCAAAGTCTCCAGCAATGATACGCCATTCAATGGATATCATCCAGAATAATGTGGAGTTTCTTAATCCTGGCCAGACCCCAGTAGTAGCATTTGATCAACCGTTATACGCTTTAGCAGAGACAATTCAATGGAATTGGCCCGATGCTTATGGAGAAAATAAGTTTGTCATTATGCTGGGAGGGCGTCATGTAGAGATGGCTGCGTGGAAGACACTTGGCGACTGGTTGGAAAACAGTGGATGGACAGCACTGCTGGTTGATGCCCACGCTGCCTCTTCCGGGAAGGCAGATTCATTTCTAAAAGCATCGCATGATTCTCGCACCAGGTATGCCCACCAAGTCACTGCGTGCTGCTTGTACATTATGATGCAAAAGATGTATGATCGGTACGTATGGAAGGATTGGGGGAAGACGAATCACCCCTTACGTTTGAAAACTTGCGTCATCAAAAGAATGCTGAAAATCCACAATTTAAGTATTGGTCGATCACCCTTGATTTAGAACTCACCATCCTGACTTTTGTGCAGTCACTTCGTGAAGGAAACTTCAAGCTTTGTATCAACAGTTTGACGAAGATAGTTCCCTGTTTTTTGGCATTAGACCATCATCATTACGCACGCTGGCTACCAGTCCATATTCGTGACATGATAACACTCGAGAAAACCTGTTCCGCTGTTGCAAGGGAATTCCAGAATGGAAATTTTGCTGTCAAGAAGTCACTTAGAGCATTTTCTAAAATACCCGTGGATCATGCCCATGAGCAGAATAACAAGTGTGTTAAGGGTGACGGAGGTGCAATTTGGCTAACCGAGAACACCTCAGAGCTTTTGCGTTGGATGATTTCAGGCCCAGAAATATCAAGAATGTTCAGCGAATTTGAGTTTTCACAAGAGTTTGTAGGCGTTACAAGTAGAAACACTGCAAGTTTGAAGCACCATGAACAATCAAATGCAATGCAATCAAGGTTCATGAAGGACGTAAAATCACTGACTGAAGCATTCGATAACATGAGTAACCCATTTATTGATGATAGTGGAGACGTCTTGAATATTGACACAAAAGAGACCATGAATGGTGGTGTTGTCACTACTATAAGCAGCATAGAAGCAATTGGAGAAAAGCAATACAAAGAATTTGTAGAAACCCGTCTGGAGAAAAAGAACGTATCTCTTTTTGAGACAGTTAAAAAGAACAAGCTTTCACGGTTTGGCACTTCACCAGTTAAGGAAACATCAAGACAGATGCTCCAGATAACTTCGTTAAAAAAAGATTGTGCTTTGTTTGCACAACTTTATGTTTCATGACAGGTTCGAGGTGGAGACCTACACGATTTCTTTTTCCATGACAATCATCGCTATCCACCTTCGCTATCTCAATATGGAATCCTCCGCTCAGGAACAAAGTCATCACTTGTGGATCGTCTTGAAGCACTTGGTCCCAGCGCAAAGAATACTTGTCCTCAAATTGATGCTCTTATCTTAGATGGCGCTGCAATTGTTAACCTTTTGAGACCAATCGGCTGCAAGACCTTTGAAGCTTATGCCCACGATGTATTTATTAAATACGTCAAATCAAGATTGGCCAATGTCAGCAGACTTGATATTGTATGGGATGGATATCTTGAAAATAGTCTGAAGGCAACAACAAGAAGCAAGCGTGGGAAAGGAATCAGAAGGCGCGTATTGCCAGATACAAGGATACCCAAGAACTGGTCCACTTTTCTTCGCGACGACAATAACAAGTCGGAATTGTTTGCACATCTTGCTCAACAAGTAACGAGTATTGACTGCTCACCCAAAGAAGTTGTATCCACATATCGTGAAGAGGTATTGGTATCTAGTCAGCGAGATCTAAGCGACATTTCACCTTGCTCCCAAGAAGAAGCCTGCACGAGAATGCTTATTCACGCCTTGGACTGTTCCAAAGTCGGTCTTAAGAAAGTCATGATCAAGACTGTTGACACATATGTTTTAGTTATTGCTGTAGCACTTTTTCAGAAAATACGAGCAGAGGAACTGTGGCTGGAATTTGGTACTGGGAAGCATACGAGATATATATCTGTCCACGATATTGAAAGAGCTCTTGGACACGTCAAAGCTGAATGGCTTACAGTGTTCCACGCGCTTACTGGTTGCGATCAGACTTCTTTTTTTGCTGGCAAAGGAAAGATTACAGCATGGGAAACGTGGAAAGCATTTGAAGAAATTACCCCGTCATTCCAATCATTGAGTTCAATACCTCAAGCAAGCACCATTCTTGATGTCCTACCAGATCTTGAGAGATTTGTAGTTCTTCTTTATGAACGAACCAGCACTACTAGAAGTGTCAACGAAGCAAGGAAAGAACTGTTCACCAAGAAAAACCGACCCATGGATGCTTTACCACCAACATCCGCAGCATTACTTCAACGCATCAAACGTTCATCTTATCAAGCGGGCTACGTTTGGACTCAGTCATTATGCAAAGATCCAACCTTACCTTCACCATTAGAATAGGGATGGGGTCAGTATGAAGACCAGTGGCAGCTACATTGGACAACCCTGTCTGAAGTTTCAAAGAAGTGTAACCTTCTGATCAAGTGCGGGTGTAATCCCCAGAAAGATTGCAGAGCTAATTGCAAGTGTGTCAAGGCGAACCTACCTTGCACTTCGTTGTGCAAGTGTAATGACGATTGTGAAAGGTGCTGAGGTACTTCAACTGTTTTACTAAATTTAAGAAGTGTATATATATTGTGAATTGTAGCTTAAAGGTACTTAAAGTAGAAATGTTTTTAATTTTTTCATGAGTAGAAAAGTACAGTGAAATAGTTTGTAACGCCATGCTTTCTAAACTATAAAATTGGAAAATTTTGCATAAAAAATTAAACCAAATGTTGATGCACATGACGTCACGATAGATGACGTCACATGACGTGATAAGAATGTCGGTTGTCCTATTATCTTAAATTGTTTGTTTAGCTACTATGTGATTATATTATTTTGGCAAGGTTTTATGTTTTTCTATAAAAACCCTACCATCGATCTTTTAACAGAATAATTGAGATAAAAACGATTTATGTCATCACATGACGGCATAAGCACAAATCACGTGGCCCCATATCTAAAAATGTTCTTCATACCAAGTCTATCACTTTGGCCAAGTTCCATGCTTTTAACCCAAATCCCACAATTTCTCGAAAAAATCAAGGAAATCTGCCAGACTAATGTTCTTCCGTCCATTTGCACCGAAAAATATTGAGAAATTGCAAATGAATATAAATGTTTTATGACCTATCTAAGTAGTGGTTAAAACACGAGCAGCCGATCTTTACATATTCATGGCACTTGTATTTAGAAACCACGTCTAAAACACTAACTCGGATTTGAAATATTACATAAAAAGGTTATTTCAATTTATCGTATTACAAGGTTTTATTAGATTATCCACAACTTTGACACCATCCTTGGTTTTCCCTGGAGATATATTCACCATGTTTAGGACTATCAAACAAGGAATAAAAAAATCCAAACATATATACGAAAAATCTTAAACAAAACTTAGCAGTTGCTAAGCCCAAGTTAACATGGTTGTTTACGCCCTTGTTATGGTCGACATTTGCATATTACAAAATCGTTAAAAAGTGATAACCCGCCTATCACATGCGGATACAATTTTTTATTCCGCCCAGCGAGCTTAAGACAGAACTGAAAATGCATATTGATATTTATTTATTTATTTATTTACTAATTCGCCCAAATTACATAATATAAATAAAAAATAGAAGTATTTACAATAATAGGGTTAATTCTGTCGAGAATTCTATTTGTTGAATTAAGAATGAAGAAAATACTTTTTCATTGCCGTTTTGAATATTGGAAAAGATCTAATTTCTTTATATTGCAAAGGAAGATTATTCCACACATCAATTTCTTTGTTAGCGAGCGTGTGTTTATTATAATTTGTTCTA